TCTCTCTCTCTCTCTCTCTCGCTCTCTCTCTCTCTCTCTCTCTCTCTCCTCTCTCACTGGTGACCAGAGCAGCTTTATAATTGGAGCGGCCATGGCAGCTTCCCTGCTGACTGCTCCTTTTAAATTACAAGCTCCACTGCCCTCCGTAAACCCTGCCCTGCCTCAGACAAAGTTTCTGCCGCTGACAGGCTGAAACGGTCTTTTCGCGACGTGGTTTTGTTGAGCGTACGAAAATGAGGTGCATTTGTGGGAGAACGTTGCTCGACCCACCTGTATCTCCAGCTGCTGGACCACCTGCATCTGGACTCTGCACTGAGCGGTGCTGCGGTCATCGAGGGCGTGCTCATTGTTCAAGTGCCTGAAGGGAATGAGAGACACAATAAGACCGTATTAAAATGAGAGYGCAGCTTATAGCCCAAAGGGTTATTCTAATGCCAATTTGCAGCTCTTGAACGAAAATGCCTGTGAACTCAGCTTTCCCCTCGTTTGTTTAGACTGAGTTATAAGCTGTTTCAGTGCTACAAAAATAAACTCCAATCATGGAGGATCATCATTTTGTCTCGTGCAAGGCCACAGCAGCTGTGTTTTGTGTGTGTATACTTCAACAGTGCTTAGCAAGATGCGATCCAAGACAACCACCTGGATATGAGCTCATGTGTTATCACACAGCATCTTATCTTAAGACTCTTAGTTAAACTTCACTCCACCTATTAACACCCGTGAGTCACATGTAGGTGTGTGTATGTGATTGTGCATTGTGCATGTGCGAATGTGGATGCTGTGCATTTCCTTAAACGTATCAACTGGGATCTTCTTGATCTTTCCTAAAGTTAAATGTTACCTGTTGCAGATAGTAAAATACAGTTTAAATATGAACAAACTGAAGAGCTAACGGTTAGTTTGAGTGCTGCCAACACACCTAATATGAGGGTTGAACGGCCTCTTCAGCAAGTTTACAAAACTATACTTAGTACAAAATATAAATGTGGTCTTGGCAGATTATTTCCTTGTTGTAACAATGATTCTTGGTAATACAGCTTATAGTAGGCACCTGACTGGAAGCACCTGGGTGTAGCAGAAGCTCAAAAGAGTCAGTAGAAACAGAAAAATAAGCTGTTCGGTAGAGAAGATTTGGCATTTTTTCATGTGCACAAAGCACATACACAGCTCTACTGTTTATCCTACAAATGCATGTTCCTTACAAATGTGGCGCCATTTAAAAGGTAAACTAACATGCTTTTCAACATTTATTGTTTGATTGTTTGATTTATTGCCCAGGAGCATTGTTACATCAAAGAAATAACCTACCAAACTAAATATTCCTTCCTTGATGTGCTAAGTTTAATTAATCACCCATTCTTTCAAAGCAGGTGAGTTGAAACATGGAAGCATCTAAAACATCCAGGAAGTGGCCCATGAGGACCAGAACTGTGTAAAGTTTCTTAATAGTGTTTGCTTTACCTGCAAAAACATGTTGGATTTTTATTTATTGTAAGATTGCAGAATTAAACTGTTTCTCAAAATTGAGGCTGGTAAAAGAACTAATATGTAAGATATTGTCTGTTTACAACCTCTCCACATAGCCCCACTTCAAAAAGGTTTGACTCATTTTTTTAGCTTGTGATCTCCATTAACCTCATTTTTTTAAACTTGTTTACTAAAGGAAAAAAGTGGTTTTCCATGTTACACTAAATCTGTGTGTGTGTGTGTGTGTGTGTGTGTGTGTGTGTGTGTGTGTGTGTGTGTGTGTGTGTGTGTGTGTGTGTGTGTGTGTGTGTGTGTGTGTGTGTGTGTGTGTGTGTGTGTGTGTGTGTGTGTGCGTTTGAGAGAGAAGTTTAGCAACTTGAGGCGGAGACTCAAAATGAAACAAAAACAATGATGTCATGGCACGACTAATCTAGGCAGATGGATGGCTCAACACAAGTGCATGATAATAATAACAAAAAACATGATCTCACCCTCTCTCTCACCCCTTTCTATAACTCACTCACACTTTTGTCCACTCTCCCCCTTCCCACTCCCCTGCCCCCGCAGCTCCCCAAATTCCTATGATTCACACATCTTCCAACCAAATCCCCTCCTCCCCTCTCCCCCTCTTCTCTATAGCAGGGCCATAAACAGTAGCCGTGTTTTTTTCCTCTTCTTCTTCTTCTTCTTCTTCTTCTCTCTTTCTTTTTTTTCAGTGTGTCCCGACAATGAGGCTCTGTTTACTCCGCGGAGTACTGGCAGACAAGGCTTTAACCCACATTACACCCAGCTTCTGCGACCACAGCCAGAGAGTATTATACCAGAGGGCAGGGGAAGAGGAGGAGGAGGAGGGCAAAGTAAAGAGAAGAGAAGAAAGACCTGAAAAAGTGGAGTGTCTCCCCTCCTCTGTTCTTCCGCTCTATACCCCCACTTTTCCCCCTCCTGAGGCGATGACTAAGGCTCGCTGGGAGGGAGGGAGCCGTTGGACTGACGGCATTATCTGTCGCTGCCTCTATTTTATTTCATCTCTCCCAGTACGCACTCAAACACACACACACACACACATGCTTTTTCACTCCAGTGCTTGCTCTCCTTCCATCGGCCCCGGGGCTACGTGAAATGAGACACCAAACAACAGCTTTCCTCTCCAAACTTTCCCAGCCTGCCTGCGAGCTTTGATCTGACTGTCCGATGCCATCACGATCCCCACGCACCCTTTCTCTGATTATCCGAGCGCTTGAGTGAATACTTATTTCATCACTCTTGCTAATTAATTTTTCTACTGTTCAAATACATACAAGCTCCATGCGGATAATGAGCGTAAGTTTGTGCAGGGCTTCCTCAGAAGCCTTTTGTTGGAAGCCATGCGTGACAGATACGGAGGTAGGAGAACGTCAAGACCTGAAACTACTTCTGCATCATCAACTCAGAGCAGAGGGAGGAGTGGAAATAAAGCAGAACAAGAACAGTTGCCCGAGAACAAACAAATGTAATAAGACAGTAGCTTTTCTGATACACCCTGCCTTAATGTTGTAAAAAAAATCWGGTGCGAGAATCTTTAAGAATACAAAGAATTTTGCACATGTGGTAAGTGAACGTGCACCGGTGTGTTTTTGCCTGTGTGTGCGCACACATGAATGTGCCTCTGAGCAAAKGTGATGCAACAGATTGCAACACGTGAGTTAGAAAATCAGGAAACCCCACTGAGATGTTTGTGACTGACATGTACTTGTATTGTGGAGGAACAAAAAAAAATTGGTTTGTTCTTTAATTTTTGTTAACTTAGGATTTTTTTTCTTATTGCAGGCAATATCTTTCAGAATGCAGAGCTGAAACAGAAAAATAAGCAAATGTATTTAAGGGTTTATAAACTATATTTATTTCTATTTTTAGTTTGGGGGAAACAAGGGGAAAATTTAAGAAATACTGATCCCATGACCTACCATGGGAATCATAAACACACATTTACAACAAATCTTTTGAAAGTGGTCTAATTGTATGATATTATTACAGTAAATATACTGTTTAATTGGGATGTATGTGATGCCCCAGAGAATAAAAGTATAAAACATTTCCACTGTAAATCATGTATGTCTCTTGTTGTTGACTGTTTACTCACTTGATGAACTGTCCCATGTCCTCACACAATGCTTCGCAGCCGGGCCACTTACACTCTCCATGACCGTAAAGGGGATGGGAGCTGCTCTGCTCCTCGTGACTGTGGAAGGGGGAAGAAAAAAAGAAAAAAAAGTTTTACAAAAGAAAGTTAAACATTTTACCAAATTATGTTCATAAAAAAAATCAAAATGTCATCAGTTGTTCAAGCACATATGCAAAAGAACTAATAGTAACTGCATTGGTTCAGCCATCAAAGTGTGGTCAGCTGTGATTAGTTTGTGCAGATTTCAAAGCCAAGACCAGAGAAAGGAGGATAGAGCAGAGTGGGGTTAGTTACAGAAGCCAGGCAAACAAGGAAATCAGTCCAACAACCTCAGAGCCACATTCTCAAGTCCATGACCTGTCTCTCCGCCTTTGGTGTGTGTGTGTGTATTTTGCACGTGTTTTTGTGCATTAGTGTTGATGCATTTTCTCCTGTTTCAGGAGTTGACACAGAGCCGGCACAGGACCAACCAGCCATGACTGATTGGTGGTGGTTGCCGTCATGTGCTGGTTGTTCTTTTGTGGTGAGTGTGTGTTTCTGTGTGTGACTCCGTTCGACTTTGTGAGTGTGTATGCGTATGCTTCTTTACATGTGCAATGATGAAAGACTACGCCAGGTTTGGTTTGGACACATTCAATAACCGTATTTGTGTGTCTCTCTGTGTGTGTGTGTCAGATCCAGTAGCAGATGTGGTTCAGACCTGGAATAGTGCCGGCAATTGCTGTCTCCACGTTTATTTACATGACTATGGATATGTGTATTTGTATGTGTGTATGTGCGTGCGTGTAAACTGGGATGGGAATTCTCCCAAATCAACATCAGAAGGTTGTCTAACAAAAACCATTTGTCTTGCAGATGGAAACATGTCTCTCTGTCTGTCTTTCCCCCTCTTTCCTGATCAGATGTGCAGGCTGGAGTGTGTCATGTATTTGTGTGTGTGTGTGTGTGTGTGTGTGTGTGTGTGTGTGTGTGTGTGTGTGTGTGTGTGTGTGTGTGTGNGTGTGTGTGTGTGTGTGTGTGTGTGTGTGTGTGTGTGTGTGTGTGTGTGTTGGCTGTGGTTGAGTCAACTCAGAAGCAGCTCAGACAGCAGACATGACAAACTGCTGGTAACCACATTCTCCTCCACATCAGCCATCCATTAGCTTAGCAGGCTAACACAGTAGTGCTACCCTCTTTGTGATCCTCTGTTGGAATAGAATCAGCTCACTGCAGCTGTAGTATTATAGTGTGTGACATTCTGGTTTGACTGAACCTTTTTTATTGCCTGTGCCCCCACTCTGACCCCCTCGGAAGTGAAGTCAGACTTCTGGCTGGACAAAATTTCTGGTGGCAAACTGTGACTCAGTGCTAAAATACTTCAAGATTTATCTTGGTTTCATTAATCCTGTTTAGCTCAAATATGGAAGGTATAAAGGAAATAAAATAAGTTGTGATTTTACAGAACTTGTCAGTGCAAAAACACTAACAATTTGAACCTGTCAAACTTCTGATAGCTCAGGACACTGGCTGTTTTCTGCAGGATTGCACCATGTTCACAAGCATACACTGTGAGTCAGTACACATGCAGCACACATAGAGAGCTCTAATTGTAGCTATAGTTCTAATAGTCTTGTTTCAGTAACCAGGAGACATCCAGGTTATAATTCTATTGCTTGTGTGGAGTCATGATGAATCAGATGATCCTTCAATCTACCCAAGAATAGATGTGGATTTAGACTGTTATACCTATATCAACAAAATCAACCCGGACTACCTGTCCATGTGGCCCAAGTGTTTGAATCTGTGTCCTCAATCAATCCTTAGAGTTTGCACAAGTATTTAGAAATGATATTTTTAACAGTATCTACAAAATCACCGTTTACAGTTTATGATTTGTTTAAAATTTTTGTTGTAGAACAAACTTTAACGTTAACTTTCCAAAACCTCTTATATTTTATAATCTTTAGACGTTCTATGGCTGATACATCAAAACATTTGCAGCCTATTTTTGTCTTCTTTCACCCAATGTGTATCCCACTACTGTAGGATCTGTGGTTTTCAGTCGAATCTCCCCAAAGTACAGAGAGAATACCCAAACTCTTGTTGACTAACATTTGCTTGTGTATGTGTGTGTGCATGCGTGTGTGTGTACATGTAAATGCTACTCACTGGCTGATGGGAGGTTGACCGCCTTTGGAGTAAAGAGGGACATGGTCATCTCCGCTGTCTGCCTTGGTGAAGGAGGATATCCACTCAAACAGTCTGGCTCTTAAAGACGAAGACAAGCCCATGAGCAGCCCACACGGCCATGGGACGACAAAACCACACAGTGTGTGCAGTATAAATACAGCCTGGCATGCGTGTTCTTGATAATGTAGGCACTGTGATAAATGCATGCTCCTACTCGGGCAGTGTGTCAGTGTTACCAGGTGAGTTTTAATCGCACATTAATGCCTATTGATTATCTATAAATTTTACCTTGTTTGATATCTGCTGTTCAGAAATGTTGACACACTCCATGTCTGAGGACGACACTTTTTTATATGCATATATGTAACTTGCTTAATATCAACATTCGATGACCTCTAAATCCTAAATGGGTCAGATAAAAAAAAAACTAAACAGTTATGGATTCTGTGTGTAGAGCCTTTCGAGWAAAAAGACAAAAATCAGCTGTAACTCTGAAAACGTGCTCAAAGTGCCTAGATAATGACCACACAAGTATTCATTTCTGGACTACAGCTTCTTGGCCTTTTAGGCTTATTCTCCTCACATTTTCCCCCATAACATACTAATATGACATGTCAGTATTAAACCCAACGCATCTTTGATCAAATGTCCTGAGAGATGTTAGTTTCACAAAGACGTGTGGAGCATGTGAATATTTTTACAACTTTGCGTGAATGAAAAAGAGTAGCTTGAAGCTTAAAGGTTAAAAATACCCCCAAAAAGACAGAGTAAAACCGCATGAACGAGAGATAGTGAATGTCACACAAAAAAAAAAAAACAGGAAGGAATTTAGCCTGTTGAGTTTCTGATTCAAGCCACCTGTACCTGTCTCTCTTTGGGGTGTGGCTCTGTCCATTGGGCAGGCTGTGAAGTGGAATGTGAGCACTGGCAGCTTTGGGGAAGGCTGAGGTAGAATTGGAGCTGTTGGTGCTCAAGTCTAGGCCCTCGGCCTGTTTAAGGGCCTCCTCTGTGCTCGGCACCCCCGACACCTCCTTCCATAGCTGTTGGAGGTCTGACGGACACATTGCTGCAATAGAAGAATGCAAAGGTAACTCAGCAACAGATCACATTTACCTTACTGAACAAACACAGGCAAATGAGACACTAGACTGTTTGAATTGAGGTCATGCAAATAAAGTTCAGACGTTAAACAACTAATCAGCAAAATAGTAAGAGTCTGATTTATGTTACCCTGCAAAATAGACACTTTTTTAGCTATTAGCCATTTCAAATGTTAGAGTTCAACAACTTCACTGCTCCTGTCACTCTCAGAGACACTGTGAGCACTCTCGCTTCTCATTTAGAAAGACACCTTGTCTTATTAGCTCAAAATAAGAGTGTAAATAAGTAGGGAGTTGTGAGACTTGCCAATAAAGACTTCATCAGCTGCAAGATTTGTGCAAAAGAAAGTGTGGGTGCACACTTTGACTTCTCTTCTGATTCCAGCTGTGTTATTTCTGGTCCAATTTCACAGTGAAAGAGAGACGCCTAAAACGCCAAAACCTTCTCCAATGGATCTTAACACACACTCACACGCACACACACATATGCACACACACATGCAGAGACCTCGATGCAATCCAAATATTATGTCTGCTTTGTCTGCATTCTTCTCAAGCCCCGCCAAAACAAAAGTTCTCACTCTGGAAGAATGAAGTTGGTGTGTGTATGTGCATGCGCGCGCGGATTTCTGTGAATATTTGTGCGCGAACGTGCGTGAATTATTCAAGAAACTAAACGGAACTGTGGAGACAGAGAAGTGTAAAGTAGTTTGGGATTGTTATGGTAAGAAACCCAAATCACATGAGTCCATTTAATTTCAAATAAATAAGCAATTTTTTTCCATAAACCATATGGAAACGGTTAACTGACAAGTGAAATGCAAATAAAGAACGTGAGAAAAAGAGATTTGTAATTAAACAATAATGAGTTTGTAACCATTCAGRTTTAACTTTTTCCAAAAATCCCTAAAAAAGTACAAATTATTTGAGAAAATGGGAGTTGCCCTGCTCATCCAGATCAGGATGTTAGTTTGTTTTTTCGTCTTGTCTGTGGAAAAATGAAACATGGAAACGTGTCCGGAGCGGGATCCAAATGCATGAAATCAAATCAAGCAGATTAATTTGTTTAAATACAGATAAACAAAAGAAGAAAATTCATTCAGTCTTCTTTAGGTTTGTGGCCAAACACGTCTTCCTTTGGACTAAAATCTCAGAACATAAACCACAGAAAGACCACTCATGTTACCCCTGTACCGCCACAACAGCCCATTGAGATGGGGCAGTAGAGTGTGCATTTGTGTGCGCAGGTGTTTGTGTATGCGTGTTTGTGTTTGCGTGGCATGGCTGGTCAGAGGAATGCTCTGGCTCACGCCTGGCTGAGCTGCCACAATGGACCAGCTCTTTCACACTGCAGGGAAATTCCAGTCTGATACACATGGAGAACAAGAAAGAGAAGGAGAGCCGAAGCCAAATGTTCGCAGCATTTCTGAAAAACTACACTCTCCAAGCACAACTTTTGTTTTTGTGAATCATCACCATAATACCAGTAAATCTACTTATCCTTTGCTGGATCTTTGCATTTTGTRTCCAACTGATTCGAGATGAACTTTTCCAAACATTCTCAGGTTCGGCGGAGCCTAAATTTTGTTATGTCTGACTGTGTGTTTCTCTGTGTCCCTGCATGGGGGGGGGGGGGGGGGGGGTGAGAGATCAGAGCCAGAGGGAAGGAAATGGGTCTGTTTGGTCAACTCAGTCAGCGCTTTAGCAATGTTACGGGCACTTTAGAGCCCCTAAGGCATTCTCCGTGAGTGAGATAGTGTGTGGACGTATGCGTGAAGCGTCACTGTGCACACACAAAACAAACGCACACACGCACATATGGGCAAGGGCGAGCCAGCAACAGTCAACATTTATCGTTCTGCAAAGTTTCAGAGGAGAGGAAAAAATAACGCCTGCAGCAGAAAGATGAATTTTCTTGTGCCTGGCTAATCTCAAGTACAAACACACACGCACGCACACACATCCACACATCTCTGAGCACGAGGCTTAGTGGCATATTTTACCTATTATCCAAATGAGTACTTTCCACAAACCCACCAATCACGTTTCCTTTTATCTTTTATAGGCTGATTAACTTAACAGGCTTCACAGGCAGCACCGGGCACAGGCCTGTGTGTGCATGTGAGCTTGTGTGTGTGTGTGTGTGTGTGTGTGTGTGTGTGTGTGTGTGTGTGTGTGTGCACAAACCTTGCTGAAGAGACTGCATGGCAGCGGTGGGCTGCAGGGGGACCAGACCTTGTCTCTGGAGGTTGAGGATGTGTTGCTGCTGAAGCTGCTGCATCTGGATCAGCTGCTGCTGGAAGGCCAGCTGCTTACTGCCGATCTGCTGCTAGCCAAACGACAGATAGAGGGACAGGTTAGAACAGTTAGATAACGTGTACACAACGTCTGCTGCTTGATGCCGCTGACTAGCCACATAAAAGGAGCTGAAGCTGCGCGGACCTTCAGGAAGTAAAAAAAGATTAAGAGGCGGTGAAGAGACAGTAGAGAGGACTTCATAGCCTCTGGTGATAATGCCTGTGTGTGCATCATGTTGATAAATGCGCCCTCCCCCTCCTCCCTCCGTTCCCAATCTGAAGCAGACCTGGTCTGCACTGTGCTACTTGAAGCGCCCACCTCAGCCTGACCCTGCACAACCAACCCCAGAGAGAGACGTACTTTATCTCCCACAGATAACTGGTTGAGCAGAAAAACAAATAAATACAACTCATCATTTTGTKTGTGTGCGTATGATAACTCGCAGGAAGGACAAATGAGTCACTTCCTTTCAAAATTGGTGCCTGGGGAAGAGAAGTGTGATGGCAACATGTTCGTGGATGTTTGAGGTTTGTGGAGTCCTGACAAGACACACCTCTGAACCTGATAAATTAGTTCTATCTAATAAAATGTTGATAAAATTATTCCGAGACCAATTGTTCATAATGCCTGGATCTTTTTATATTACTGTTTAATAATGATGGGGCTTGGAAGAACACTTTACTCACATGTTGTTTATCCTCCCATCCAATCATTGTTTCCATTGCACAGAGAATGGAGCTGTTTTAAGATGAACTACGTGTTTGTGCACGCTTAAACTGCCGCAGTTGCCTTTGTAGTAGAGTTTTCAGGGTTGGATTTAGGGAAGAGAGATAAGTAGAGTCAATGCTGCTGATCAGTCTAGTAAACCAACTGGAAGTTCTTTTGGATTAGGATTCTTTAAATAAACATTTTCAAACCTTCAAGTAAATCACCTAAAGCTTTAAAATAAAGAAAGAAGCATTAATTGAAGGCATGCATGTCATTCACCACTTTGCGTGCCAAAGTTCGAAGTAAAGATCTTACACAACCAGTCGCACTTATTGTATCTGCCTCAGCTACTACCATACTAAATTTAAGGTTAAAATCTGCAACAAAGACTGATTTCTAATCGTTTGTGTGGCTATATTCAATTGGATTGCCTCCCAATGTTAAAAAGTTGGAGTTATACTGTATATACAAAGATGACATTCTGAGTGTTTCATTATTAATCCATCCTCCRGTTTGTGAAGCTTTTCTATTGGATAACAAACAGATAAACATGACTGCCCATTTTCATGGTGGCAAGTGATAAATAATAGTCTAAAAACAACGAGCTTAAAAGAGGACAAATAATAAAATAATAATGCAAATTGAGCAGTTCCTTTTCATGTTTGCAGTCTAACTGAGATTAGATCAAATTGTTTAATTACAGAGCAATCTTTGTGCTGACCCCCCCACCCGACTGCATCAGTGTGAACAAACAGGAGTGTAAATTGGTGAAGTCCTTTTTGTTGTTTGCGTCCAACAGTCCTGCAGAGACAACAGTTGCTTTCTCCACGTTGATACATGTGTGCAGAACTTAAAACTATTCACCTCTTTCACAGAGCATGTGTTTCCGACACTGAAAATCAATGGTATGTTCAGGAAAAAAGCCAGAATTAGTTGCAAYAATCTGGTTCATGAAGATCCCACTGTTCTGCTTGATGCAGCCATTTCACCCCCTCCCCCCCACCACCACCCTTTTCTTTCTGTCCAGACCCTCCTGCCCCTTCTTTTCAAACTTGTCTGTCCATTTTATTTCTTCCACTCCCTCCTCTGTCTCTCATTCCCTCCTGAGATATGACCACAGTTCGTTCAAAACACACACATTGTGTGTGTGAGTGTGCCTGTGTTCTGTTTACATTAGCCGTGGCTGAGTGGCCAAAGCTAGCGCAGTAACAGGCTGTCAATGTGATTTATGAGCACATCACACACTGTCTGAGCCTGACAGTCACACAGACACACACACACACACACACACACACACACACACACACACACACACACACTTGCACAGGCGCTCTGAATGGACATCCAAAGACACACAAAAGCACGTATCTTTTTGTGATGGTCAGAGTCACTTCATTAAGCTGACTCCTGACCAGTCCCAAATGCTTCGGTGACACACAAAATGCTGCCTCAACACGCACATCCACACTTTCGCTTTCAATGCACCGCTTCCACAAAGCCATGAAAGTGAAAAGGAATTACAGCAAAAAGAAAAAAAGGGCAAAAAGGTCACAGCTACTGATGTACAAACACTCCAAAAAAGAAAAAAAAAGAGAATTTATTTAACTCCTCATTCTTCCGTTAGCTACAGTTTTGTTCGTCTCCTCAGCACAGCTAGTTTGAGGCCTACAAACACATAAACATTTGTCTCAATGTCCTAAAACTTCTACCATACCTGACAAAAAAGAGAGATGGGACTAACTACAAATCTACTGTTGTTTTCATTTTCATCCAGCAGCTACAAAAGCTGCTGCAGAGAACCTTAGTCCCATCAGCTGTGTCCAGCTCTGCAGGGAGCCATATTCCCCCAGGTGGATGTGTTTGAGCAGTGAACCGTCACACGTCAAGCCTCTCGCTCTCTGTCGGCGTGTATGTGTCGCTGTATGACCAGTGTTTGCACTTGTCTCATTGTTACAGGACAAGCAACCTGAAAAGTGGGACAGTGGCAGAGTGCGGGGGAGAGAGGAAAGCGCTTTCAGACACTCGCTCAACATGCAAGTCAACCACAACTGGTTTGCTTTGGTCACGGTTGAGCTGCTCGACCGCTGTCAGCGAGGAGCATGTGGGCTTCGGTGTGTGTGTGTGTGTGTGTGTGTGTGTGTGTGTGTGTGTGTG